TTTGGCTCCCAGTGTTCTACCAGGAATCAAGAGTAGTAGAAAATTAGATAATTCTAAAAGTAGTTTTTTGAGAGAAAAACCGAAAGGGTTTTATAAATGCGGCAGATGCAGCACTTGTAAATTCCAATCGTACAAAACACTAGATTTTAAGAGTACCATCACAGGGGAGTCTTTTATTATTAAACATTTTATAAATTGTCAAAGTAAATATGTTATCTATTTGCTACAGTGTAAATGTGGCATACAATATATAGGCCGCACAATAAGAACACTGCACATAAAATTGTTGGAACATTTTGGTGGAATTAGAAGAAAAAGTATAAAACATAGTGTACCAAGACACTGTAACAATTGTAAAGATTTTAAAATGGAAAATTTTAGCTGTATCGGTATTGACCGGGTCAGCCCCCATTGGAGAGGGGGAGACATAGAAAAACGTCTGGCTATAAAGGAAACAGAATGGATTTACAAATTAAAAACTTCTGTTCCAGACGGTCTTAATACAGATCTGGATATTTTAGTGTTTATGGACTAACTCCACCAAGATGATACGATTTACACTGATTTTAATGCCACATTGGTTTATATTTTATATTTTATATTTTATCTGTATATATATCAGTATGAAATTGAATAACTGATTATATGAAAGGTTACTAACTTTGTTTCCTCTCTTTTTTTCCTTTCATTTTACATCCGTCCTCGATTGAGTTATTTCTAAATTGAGTACTTTTTAGTACTTTTAAATTAAGTCCTTTCTAGAATTCTCAACAGAAATTTGTTGCACTATTGCTTTGGAGAGTCATATCAATTTAGAATTGTCTAGAATTATGTAATTTTATAACTATGTTTTTATAATTATGTATTTTTTATAATCATGCCTTTGTAAAATTACGTCCTGTTTAAAACTATGTCCTGTTTAAAATTATGCCCTGTTTAAAATTATGTCCTGTTTAAACTGTCAGTTCAAAATATTTATATATTAGCACTATCACTGTTATATATATGTGAATTGAAATGATCTTGATTGAATGTAATATGTTGGATTCATATATTGCAACTACATGCACATATGCACATATATATATTTTTTTCTTTTTTTCTTTTTTTCTTTATTTACTTTTTTCTATATTTTATATATATACATATTATATGTCCCATTAGAATCTTCTCTATATGTGCATCTAACATATAGTAGCATTGGAACACACTGGTTTCTTCTTCTTTATAAGTTCCAATGTTGTCCCTGTTGCTTAGAATAATAAAGTTTTTTGCTTGCGTTCCATGGTGGAACGCACATGCGCGCCGGACGCCGGCGGAGGGTATGTCATCACGCCGGCGCCCGGTTGCGCATGCGCATTTGCACAGAAAGGACACCACCCGGCATATTTAAATGCCGAATAGAGAAGACTCTGGATCGCTCCTGAGGAAGTCTGAATAAGAACAGACGAAACGCGTTGAGCAAACCCGGGGAACTGAATCAGCTGATGGTGAACTGTTCTATCTGTCCTTGCAACAGCCTCCATACAGACGTCCACAGACTGCTAAGACAGGGAGATTTAGCCTATTGTAGGCATCAGCACTTTAGCACATATTGATTTTGTCAATTGTGCCACACTGTTTGTGAGTGTTTTTATCTATATGTTTTTTATCACTTTGAATTAAAAGTTTGCACTATGATGTTTTCTCTTTTTATATTTTTTATGTGAATATCCTCACTTGCTCGCTGGAGGGTAACTATATCCAGTATTTATATTTGGTGATAAGTGGCGCCCTATTTCTGTATAGTATATACAGTTTTGTTTTTTGCACATTTGGTTAAGGGATACAGGGAGTGCATCCCTATATATAGTGGCTTGCCTGCACTTTCTAACGGTCAGTTCTTTCACAATCCACTTTTGGTTTTATGTATTATTTTAAGCAGACTGTGATTGTCTATTGTTGTGACTTAGATGATGATCAGATCACATTTTATGACCAGTTTGTGCAGAAATCCATATCATTCCAAAGGGTTCACATACTTTTTCTTGCAACTGTATATATATATATATATACATATATAGTAATTTAAAGATGAATTTAATATGAAATTTTATATATATATATGACATTTTATATATATTTTTTTACTTTGCAGCACCCGGGGGCCAGCAGCCCAGGTAATCCCTCGGCATCCATAGATGCCTCACATATACAGCGTGGCCCCAATGTGCCGGGGGGAGGGATGCTAGATGCGGACCACCATGGAGGTATGTATACCACTGGCTCTGGGTCTCACAGCTGTTCCATACTGCCTCAACAGCTTTAAATACCATTAATACGTGGACAGCATGGAATGCCGGAATGACGTTATGGGGTTAAAGTTAATGGGTCCCTATTTGTTATTATAAGAAATCCTAAGCAAGGGACCTGCAGTATGTGTGGGGCATGGATGTAGGTGGAGGCCTCATGTTTTGGTTTTACCTAAGGCCTCACAAAGTCTAGAGCCATCTCTGTCTGCTACTAATGGCGAACAACTCCTGCTGCCCCCCTTGGAAGTTTCTGAGTTGAGGTTCTAGGCTATTGGCAGCTGCATTCATTTTAATTCTTCTCCCTCCCAAATAAAATAAATTACAACAGGTGCAAATAGCAGCTACCCCTCTACTACGGGCGATACTAGGTGGCAAGAAAAACATGGATTAATTCCAAGGATAAAATATATGACCTCTCCCATGTATGTTGACTTAAGCGTTTCCTCAAACCGCACTCCTTACCACTCCCTATACCAGACTGTACTGCTGCCACATACACAGAACCTTAATCCCACATACACAAACTTACATATATTGCAAGAGGGAAACTATTTATTTTTCCTCTTAGTTTTCCTATTTTTGTTTCTCTCCCTCGCCTCTCCCCATTTGTCTCTTCCTCATGTATTTCCATATAACTCTTTACCATTACTCCCCAAATATGGCTCATTCCATTACTCTCCCGATTTCTCCCCATGTATGTCTCTCTGCCCCAAATTCGCTCTTGCTTCTCTCATACAGTACCCTCTTCTAAATTGTCTTCAGTCACCAATATCCTCATAGGTGGATCTTATCCATTCTTCACGCCCCTCAGTTACTGTCTCTCAATTTGCCTGCGAATGTAGATTTAGTTGCTGTTACTGAGACATAGTATAATGAGAAATATGATTGGGATATAGCAATACCAGGGTACTCCTTATATAGAAAAGAAAAAGACAGAGAAGGCAAAAAAGGGGAAGGATAGCATAAAATATAGCCTAACAAAAGTTAGTGAGGGGAGCATAGAGTCTGTTTGGGTTACGTTAGAATTTGGAAATCACACAGTAACTCGTGTAGGTGTGATTTACAGGCTAGATGAGTTAGATAATCTGTTAGTTGAGGAAATAGCTAAAATGACAATAAAGGGTGAAGTTATTACCATGGGTGACTTTAATTTTCCAGATGTGAACTGGAAAACCAAAACAGCTGCTTGTGCCAGGAGAACACATATTCAAAACTTTCTACTGGGATTATCTCTAAAACAAGTAGTTGAGGAAACAACTTGTAAGGAAGCCATACTAGATTTAGTGTTAACAAATGTAGATTTAGTATCAGATATTACTGTAGGGGAGAGTTTAGGATCTAGTGATCACCAGTCAGTGTGGTTTAATATAAGAAAAGTGACTGAGTCACACACAAAAACAAAAGTATTAGATTTTAGAAAAACAGTATTTTCTAAAATTAGAATATGCATAAAGAAGTCCTTGGAGGACATAGTCTTAAATTAGAGGGGCCAAAGTTTAAAAATAATATCAGAAAGTATTACTTTACTGAGAGGGTAGTGGATGCAGGGAATAACCTTCCAGCTGAAGTGGTAGAAGTCGACACAGCGAGGGAGTTTAAGCATGCATGGGATAGGCATAAGGCTATCATAACTATAAGATAAGGCCAGGGACTAATTAAAAGTATTTAGAAAATTGGGCAGACTAGATAAACAGAATGGTTCTTATCTGCTGTCACATTCCATGTTTCTATGCTTCTATTCTTCCTCTTTTGGGACAGATAAAGACATGATTCTGAAGCTATGTGGGAGGTCAAGAGCTATGGCACCATTGGGAAGAAATGTGATCTTAGCTTTGAGTTTGGAGAGGACATCTCTCCCTAGAAGTTAAATGGGACAGTCTGGACTGTACAGGAAATGGTGTTGGATGACGTGGCCTCCCAAATTGGCAATGGTCTGGTGGCAGGCTTACCGGTGGCCCCTACCATAATGATAATCTGTCCAGATTCGGGGCAATGGGTTTAGTCATGATAGAGTGCTGGGCCGCAGTGTCAACCTTGAAAAGGCTTGTCTTCCCCCCAACGGACTGAGTACAGGTGGTGTGGGTATAACAGATGGGGTATGTCAGGGGATTTAGGAGGTGTATCTGGGGCATAGTATTGGTCCTTTCAGGGTAAAACATTTAATTATACAGTAAGCATATTCACATGCAGACACAGACAATCTTACTGACACACACAAGCTTGATACACAGCCTCATAGACCATGGGCATAGGCTCCCCCACAAATTTGGGGAGGATAGCATTTTTATTTTTTTTAATCTTTATTTTTATTTGTGGGGAGGATAGCATTTTTGCAGGGTGTATTCTTATTCAGTAAACTAGGTATCCTATGAGTAGTACTCTATGGCGTTAACCCAGTGGTGTATCCTGGTTTTGTGCTGCCCTAGGCAGGACAAAACTCAGGCGCCCTCTTCCCCCGCGCCACCCCCACCCAACCCTTCCCCCGCCCCACCTTCTAAATACACACACACAGTCAGACACAAACACACACACAGTCAGACACATACACACACACACACACATACACAGACACACAGTCACACACACACACACACACACAGTCAGACACAAATACACACACACACAAACAGTCAGACACAAACACACACACACTCACAAACACACAAACACAGTCAGACACAGACACACAGTCAGACACAAACACACACACAGTCAGACACAAACACACACAAACAGTCAGACACACACACAGTCAGACACAAACACACACACACACACACACACAGTCAGACACACACACAGTCAGACACAAACACACACACACACACACACACACACAGTCAGACACAAACACACACAAACAGTCAGACACACACACAGTCAGATACAAATACACACACACAAACAGTCAGACACACACATACATTAACTTTTTTTTTTAATTTAACCCCCCCCCAACCTCCTTACCTTTGGGAGTGCTGGGGGGGGGAGGGAGGTCTCTCTCTCCCTGGCTGCCGGTCGGGCTGGGCGGCTGTGGCTGCTGTGCGGGCGGCTGGCGATGGAGCACTTCCTCTGAGCTGACTGCTCAGCTCCCTCGCACGCCGGCTGCAGAGTGAGGCTGTGAGCCGGAATATGACGTCATCTTCCGGCTCCCAGCCTCACTCTGCGGCACGCGAGGGAGCTGAGCAGTCAGCTCAGAGGAAGTGCTCCCTCGCCAGCCGCCCGCACAGCAGCCAGAGCCGCCTGCCCGCTCGGGATGTCAGTTAGCCGCAAGGCTAACAAGGCATTTGCCCTGGGCATTTGGGGGGCGGCGTTTTTTGCCGCCCCCTGAAAAATGCCGCCCAAGGCAAATGCCTTGTTTGCCTCGCGGCTAATACATCCCTGCGTTAACCCAAGCAGTTCCTTGCCAGTGTAATGTCACAAAGGAATTCCCCATTGCAGTGTGACCTTGTACCTTAGGTAGTGTGGTTATATGATTTATATGGCCTCGCACTTATGTCCCAACACACAGTAACCTCCCTCCAGCCATTAGGGCCCAGTCACAGGAAGCATTACCTGACCTTGCACAAGCAGTGCCAGTTACAGTGCCATCTTACACCAGCAATACTTCTGAAAACCTGCCTTTATCCTAGCATTATTATTACAATCTAGAACCCCAGCAAAGCTAACTAAAGTGAATCCTTACTACATCAATTCTAATCACAGACTGACTGACTTTATCTAAGATGTCATACGCCTGTCATATCACTACCTTATTCCAGTACTGTTCCTCACAATTGCACCATAGACCAGGCATAGATTAGTCACAAGACAGTCTTACCTCAACAATACCAGCAGCACTACTTTATCAGATCTGTGCTTGTCACAGTGTGTACCTTAACCTAACAACCTTAAACAGATTGATGTTTTGCTGAAGGTAATATTCTGAGAGGGAACTTATGTTACCAATACAATTCACAGCTTGTCCTCATGCAGTTTACCAAAGCAGTTATATTCACAAATTGCTTTTACTCCAGCAATTCCAGTCACAATTACCACAGCAGTATCTGTACTGTCTTTACCTCTCAGTGCTATTTACAGCAATCACCCACAGTACCTCATCAATACCACTCACAGTATTGCCCTAGCACAGTGGTGCTAGTGAAAGCCGCACTTGCCCCTAACAGAGTCAGTCACAGCAGCACTGTCACCTTATTATCACATGGGTTAGTTACAGCTTGCACTTACGCCAACAGTACCTGTGAGAGTACCTCCTTACACTAGCTCATAGTATGACCTTACTCTGCTACAAAATATCTTACCCCAGCACTACCCTTCCACAAAATATCTTAACACAGCACTACCCTGCCCTAGAGTATCTTGTCCCAACACTGCCCTGCCACAGATTATTTTACCTAAAATACTGCCCTCCCGCAGATTATTTTACCCCAGCATAACCCTCCACAGAGGATCTTGCCCCAGCAATGCCCTACCACAGCTTATCATACTACAGCACTGCCCTGCCAAATAGTATCTTACCCAACCACTTTCCTGCCACATAGTATCTTACCCCACCACTTTCCTGCCACATAGTACTTACCCCAACACTTTCCTGCCACAGATTTTACCCCAGCACTGCCTTGCCACATAGTATCTTATCTCAGCACTGCCCTGCCACAGAGTATTTTACCCCAACACTGCCCTGCCACATAGTATTTTGACCTAACAGTAGGCTTGACACCCTGTCACAAATGGTTCTTAAGCATTCAGTTGATCACATAGGGATTTTAAGAGCCAAAGAATACAACTAATGAGATCAGACGGCTCCCCAGAAAAAGGGAGGTGCTGTATCCCACCGGAATTACCTCTAGATTAAAAGATAATTTTATAGGTAATAAACAAGTGCTCATCAGGGAATTTTGCAGAAACTCCCAGAAGCTATCCTAATGATGTAAGGACGTTAATCCAAATGATTATGAAAATAATATATTTATAGTGTTAAAACTTTTTATTAACCCCTGATGGTTTTTAGAAAATCGGCCAAAATTCTATTTGTATGAATACACTTCTATTAACCATCGTCCATTATTCAACAAGTGCACATAGGAAAAGTTACCAAAGGTCCTAAAGATTATCCTATTATTCTAGGGGCATTAATACAAGCAGTTGTATAAACAGTATATTTGTAAAGTATAAAGTTAGAAGCGTGAACCCAGAATAATGTTAATGTCCTTAGTTCAATACCTCAAAAGGTGAGAGGGAAGTCAGGGGACTATATGGAATCTACTCATACGATAGCACATTATTAAATTACCTATGGTATAATATGGTAGTAAAATATATAGGGGGAGCTTACTTTGGTTACTGGGCGAAAAAATTAGTGCAAAAATTAAAGTTAAAATATGGTAGATATTAACATATTAATTTACCATCTAGATGATCAAGATCAGGATCTCGTAAATAAATACTATAATGAAAGCAGGTTAGCTCAATGGCCAATTTTAAATAAAAGGTGAAAATGAAAAGCCCTCGTTTAATCCTAGGGGTTGGAGGGTTTTTAATTTGTGTATCCATCTACATTCCCTCTGTCTCAAAATTTTGTCATAGTCCCCCCGTCTCTGTTCTCTTTTCACCAGTTTCAAGCCGCAGAATTTTAGATCTTTAGAGTCCCCTGTGTGGCAGTCCTTGAAGTGTCTGGAGATCGGAGTTTCCAAGTGGTTTTAGGGGACCTTACATGCTCTTTGATTCTCTATTCAAAGGGACGGAAAGTCTTGCAGACGTATTTCAAATTGCAACTGCAGGTAAGTAAATACACCAAACCTGCAGTATTGCAGTTAAAAAAGCTATCCGTCACATTTTTTGATTCCCGTAGGATAAATTTGCATGCCACGCATCTCCCGCATCTATAAGTACCACAGGGGGGAGTTCCTAACCATGTAGTTGGTGATTTTACAGGAGGTTGAAAGTGGCTTGGGATGAAGATATCCCTGAGATTTCTGCCTCTTCGTGCCGTGATGGTCACCTGAGGTCCAAGAACATCCTTAAGGTGGACATCATTCAATAGGATCGGCCAGAATCTCTGCATGGACTTTACTCCATCGGGAATCGAATGTTGCTATCAACCTGATAGCGTTGGCATTTTCCTTTAGAGGGGGATCTGCCAGAAGGGCATTCCTATCACTCTCCAAAGCCCTCTTATAAGCTCTTTTGAGGGATCTGTTAGGGTACCCATTCTCCCTAAACTGCTGCCTCAATGCTTTGGCTTTAACTTTAAAGGACCACTATAGTGCCAGGAAAACATACTCGTTTTCCTGGCACTATAGTGCCCTGAGGGGGCCCCCACCCTCAGGGACCCCCTCCCGCCCGGCTCTGGAAAGGGGAAAGGGGTAAAAACTTACCTTTTTCCAGCGCTGGACGGGGAGCTCATTAAACTGAAGTGGTCTGGGTGCCTAGAGTGGTCCTTTAAAATCCATGATGTCACTACAGTTCCTCCGTATCCTTAGGTATTGACCGACCGGTATAACCTGTCTCGGAGGTTTTGGATGGAAACTATCCCATTGTAAGAGGGCGTTGGAGGCAGAGGGTTTCCTATACAGTGTGATTTGAAGTGTGCCTTCCTTGGTGATAGAGATAGTAAAATCCAGAAAATGGATGGAAATTAAGCGAAGGGCCCCCATACTCAGAAGTGAATCTTAGATTCTCATCATTCACATTGAGAGCAGAAACAAAGTTATTAAATTCCTCAGTGGTACCCTGCCACACCACCAGGACGTCATCTATATAGCGTTTCCATAGATGAATCTTAGACCGGTATTGGGCCAGGGTATCTATTGTCGCTAGATGCTCCTCCCACCAACCCAGGTGAAGGTTGGCATATGAGGGAGCACAAGCTGTCCCCATAGTAGTGCCCCTCACCTGATGGTAGAATTTGTTGTGGAACAAAAAAATATTTTGCAACAAAACAAAGCCCAATAATTTCAGTGTGAATGTTGTGTGTACTTGGTAATTGGTCCCCCTCTGGTCTAGGTAGTATTTTACATGTGCCAACCCTTTATCATGCAGGATAGAAGAGTAAAGGGACTCCACGTCCAGACTACATAGACTTGCTTTCTCTGGTAGCCTTAAACCGGAGAGGAGGGTCAGGGCTTGTTTGGTGTCCCTGATATAAGAGGGTAGATTTTCTACAAAAGGTCTTAAAATCCTGTCTATATAAAGACTACCATTTTGGGTTACATTTTCCACCCCAGAAACAATGGGGCAGCCAGATGGATCTTCAAGGCTCTTGTGGACTTTAGGCAAGCAGTAAAAGGTTGCTATCCTAGGGTGACGGTTTAGAATAAATTCGTATTCGTCTCCGGATAGCAACCCTTCACTGCGGCCATCGTCCAAAATCTTCTTATATCTCTGGAGAAACATGTTTGAAGGATCTGATTTCAGGATATGTAGGATATGTTTCAACATCATCAAGCACTTTATGGACCATCTTCACGTAATTACTTGAATCCATCACAACCACATTGCCCCCTTTATCAGCTGTCTTCACAGTTATACTGTTGGCCTCTTTCAAAGACCTTAATGCCAGTTGTTCCCTTCTTGAAAGGTTGTTGTTAGGATGAAATTCCAAAGATTTCATGTTGATCCTATCAATCTCATTCCTTACTGCTTCCAAGAGGAGTTCAATGTTTCTGAAGCCGCTGAAACTGGTGGTAAACCTGCTCTTCGGTTTTAATTCAGTGTGGTTAAGAGTCATCTGTCCATCATTCTCATCCAGAAGGGACACCAAAGTTGTTAGGCAATCATAGTCCCTACTATATAGCCCAAGGGATCTAGCAGTTCTCTCTATGCGCAGTTGATGGTACTTATGTAATGCAAGTTTACGCACAAAGAGGTGTAAATCTTTGACCCAGGTGAACCTATCAAAGGCTGGTGTCAGGAC